ACTCTGAAGTGAAAATTCCTACAGAACAGCAATCAGCAACATGGGATATCAGTATATTAGTAGATCACATCAAGCAGCATTTGTCTCCAACAAAAGGACTGACTCTGGATCAATTATAATTGAAGACTATTTTACTCCTTTGCATCGCAACTATGTGGCGACCAAGATCCGACATTGGTAGACTACAGTATCGTGATATTATTTTGAAGCAAGATGGGCTGACATCAAGCATCCGTATCCATGCAAGAGCTCCAAAAGAAAGTCAAGTGAAATCAATCACGTTGGGAATCATTGAGGATGAAGATTTATGTCCAGTAAAAACCACTTTCGAGTTCGTTACAAAGACAGCCCACCTTCGACAAAACTTGCCGGAAGATCATACCTTATTTCTAGCTTACATTGAGTCCAACAAAAAATCAACCACTTCAGTCAGACCAACTACTGTAGCAAACTGGGTTAAGGCAGCCATGGAAAAGGCGGGAATTGATATCAAGGACTATCAGGCACATTCTATACGGGCAGCTTCAAGCACAAAGGCTGTAGGACTAGGTCACTCAATCCAAGATGTGAAAAAACATGCCAACTGGAGCTTGAACTCAAACACCTTTGAAAATTTTTATTACAAACCATCTTCACAAACGTCCACTAGTACAGCAATCAACAATTCAATTTTTTCTAGTCCGGAAAACCGTATCACATTGGAGGCCGAAGTGGAGTCAACTGGGATTCGTTTAGGTACGACAACCAATTGATAAAGTCCAAAAATTTTTTTTGACAAGGCTGGGTGAGCAAGTATATGAGCTCAATACTCATTTACAATGAATCTATGACCTATACCCAAGCATTAATATTCAACTCTATTGATTGTCAACCTTCTTTCCCAATCCTTTTGATGATGGAGTGAAAAAAAGTCGGCACTCTTGAGAAATCAAATAAGGGTCTATTGCCTTTTTGACCCTTCTTTTTCCTACTGTAACAGAAGATCCGCGGACAATGATTAACGCGTGACAATGAAGATAATTGTGTAATGCTAAAATAGGGAGTGGAGACAATGAGCTTTGTTTTCATAATAAGAAAAAAGTAATATCTTTACTAAAATCTTTCTTGCATCCACCAACAATAAACATGAAGCCCATTACCAGTGCGTTTCCAAGAGAAGAGGTATATTACTATTAAGAAACAACAGTAGTAATAAAAGGGCTTAAGATACATAAGGGTTCCACTTTCAGACGCATTGTGTAATAATAACGGAAGGATGATGGGCAGCATGATCTTATTCTATTTCGATGTTTATGATAAAAAAATTGCTGACCCACCTCTCTTTTTCCTCCACTTTCTCTTTACATTTTTTAAAAAGAAAAATACAAGGTTTTTAACAAAATTCTTCCAATATCAAGTGCTTGAAAGACTGATTAGCTTTTCATGCAAAAAGGCAGAAAGGATCCTTCGGGATCAAATATGTCCTTTAATCCAGGGATAACAGCTTCAAACGGCCGCTGACAAGCTTGCTGAAGAGCAAGTTCGTATTTACATGGTGATTTTCCATAGAGAACCTTTCCAAAGAAGCATAAGCTTACCGCAGCTAATCGAAGTCCTGTTCCGACCAAGCAGCATCGTCCAAACCTAAGCAGCGCTGGTGCTGTCTCTGTGGTCAAAAAGTTGCCTTTGGTCGTGCCTCCATTCCCTTGCCTTGTCGTTTTGTGCTCCAGCGCAATCGTCAAGACGATCCCTTTCGTGCTGCCCTCCAAATACTGTCACAGTTTGGTAGAAGCCGTTTTGGCAAACACCATGCCAGCGACCTTTTGGTCCTGTCTTCACCTCGCTGCTGCCAAAATCCTTATGTGTCTTTCTCTGCTGGCGTGTTGGCGTTCTCTTTCTCTCCCTCCGCTCCTTTGGTCCCTTCTGTAGACACCGAGAATCAAGCCGATGGTCCCCAATTCACTCCTTCTTCTTGTGTGTCCAGTGCCACTGATACTCGTCCTTCATGTTTTCCTGCTCCTTCTTCTGATTCGGACCTTTCTTCTCCTTTGAAACCGATGCGGTCGCCCATTTTCCTCAGAAGCGAAGGCATGAAGAAGGCGCAGAAGACACAAGCATTTTCCTCTTCCTCTAGGCTAACCAAGAGATGTAAGGCCGAGAGTGGTCATGTTTCTATCTACAAGTAATCCTCTGCCTGCTTTCACGTAAAGTAACGCGATTTTTGGTACTTTGTCGTATACCAATAAGATGAATTATACTTAACTACTCTTACTCACAATCCTTATCCCCTAGGTATCTACTGTTTGCATTGACACACTCAAAGAATCACCTTTGATTCATAGCATCTATAATCAATAGATTTAATTGGTTGACACCATTTATTCTTCTATTTGAGAGTCAATTTCTTTTTGTTAATAAAACACTCTTTCTATTTCTATTTTCTAATTCTTCAAGTTATAAAACTCCTTTTTATTCATAAATCTAAGAGACAAAAAAAAAAAAAAAGAGCAGCTAACCCGACAACGTTAGTTCTAATTCAAAGCTCAATCGTTCTTTCGGTTCAATTGATGAATCTTCTTTAATAAAGATCGACCCGACTTGAAGGTATCATAATCACGCACCACTCTTGACTGTGGCCCCATGGCTGGATCAAAAATAAATTTCCAATGAACCAAAAGCCAAGAGGTATGATAAGCCAATGAATCATAATATTCTGTAGCCAAAGCGCGAACATGTGGCAGACGTGACCAAGGAACCTAACAAACCTATTCAATACCTTTTCTCCTACTTGTGTATCTTTTTACCATTTGAAAATCATGATGCTCATTATGATACCCGATGTTCATAAAGGGTATATTCAACACACCATAGTACGAATACGTCTCTTGCCCGTCATCAAATGCATAATGTTCCTGTATGAAATGGGCAGCTCCCGGATGCAACGAGTACCCACACCACAATGATATAAAGAGGTAAAACAGCCCCCGCCAGGTAGCGATACGTTGAACAAACACGTTGGCCAGTACGGTGACAGCCAGATTGATCCATTCCCATCGTTTGGGCGTATGTCCCCATCGTTGCTGCAAGATAGCGCCTCGAGCGACATACATGACTGGATAAATCAAGATCCATGCACACTTTTTCCATGCGCTGCCTCGGATCCACTTCTTTTCCCACTCCAGTGGTAAGTCTGGGTCTCGTCCTTCGACGCCTTGCCAAGTGTGATGCTCAATATGGTACCGACGGAAGGACTGTGAGATGGGTACAGGTAGTGCCAAGTTGGTGTAGAGGCCCATGATGCGGTCCAGCGTCTTGTCGCCCGTAATCAGGTTATGACAGGCTTCATGGATAATCACACCTACGATACCGGTCATTGTGCCGCCAATAAAGTACGCAGCAAGGATCATCGTCCAATGGCTTGAGTTGTAGTGGCCAAAGTAATAGGCAAGGCCGAGTTGAACCAGGTTGATCACCGTTGCTGCATAAAATGTACTAAAGTCTGAACCATAAAGCTGTCTTATCTCAGGATATTTGGCAAGTAACGCATGCTTTCGTTTGAGATGTGGCTCGTCCATATCGTCCTTTGCAAAATCTTGGTTGGATCTCTTCCAGTGACCAAGATAGAGAGGGTGACGATAATCAGGATGTACTGTGTTTCTGTACCTTTGCTTAAAGGAACCATCAAACCGGATTGGCGGCATCGTTTTTTTTTTTAAAAAAAAAAGACTCGCCTTTAAATGTCAAAATAAAAATAAAAATAAAAAACAATAAAATCAGGAGATTATCTTTATTGTTTCTCAATAAATTTTTTGATAGTTTAATGGATAAGCTATTTAAAGTATATTAGTATCTTGTTATTTCTCCACATGTCATCATTATATCTTACCATTGCCTTTACTTTCTCCACTTGGATATACATGCTTTGATTTCGAACATGCTCTTGGCTCTGGTAGACTCGAGATCGGCCTAAAAGTAAATTTACCTCCGCCTTCAGTCAGTGGCACACTGGCTCGAACAGACGGCTTGCCCATGGGTGGAGGTGGTGGTGGAAGTGGTGATCGTGGAACATTAGGTGAGTTGGATGTCGATGAGGCTCTAGGTCTACCTGGTGGCAGAACAGGCGGTACGGCTAAGCTGCTTCGTACAACTTGTGGACTTGCAGGAGGCGAAGGTGCTGAAGTACGTGGCGGAGGCGGAGGTGGAATCGGTCTCTGTGGTGAACTGTTTGATCGTGTACGTCCTGTTGTCGCTGGTGGAGCAAGTGAGGCTTGGATCTTGGGCGAAACACCAGACGCTACTGAAGGTGGTGCAGGAGGAGGAGGCGGTGGTGGTGATGAAACTGTATTGGAAGAAGGCGTGGGTAATGCTCGGCCAGGAATAGGAGGCGCTTTAAAGTTTCTTGGCAATGTATTGTGAATGGCTGATCTATTGATGGCAGGTGGTGGAGGTGACGATGACGACGAGCCTCGGCCTGTCTCAACTGCAGCACCTCTAGTCTTTCGAAGTGTAGGCATGCCATTAACAAAGAGTCCACCTAATTGAGGACCACTGGGCGCTGCTGGTGGGGCTGTTGGTGGTGCTGATACAGGTGTTGATGGTAAAGATACCATACCAGGAATAGGTGGTCTTGCCATTCCTCCTCCTCCAGTAGGAGCAGTTGGTTTGGATGCTATGAGACAAGTCAGCCTCTTGTTTTTTCGCTATTGTAACATTATACACTTACGAGCGATTGCAGGAGCTGATCTATCATTTGTCACAGCCTTTTTAAGCTTTTTGCCTTTTTGAATTTGGGACAAAAGTGCACTGTCCATTATGTACAAATAAATATATTTATATATGTAAAAAAAAAAGAAGGAAAAAAAGTGTGCTTGCTTTAACCAAGTTTGGCTGGTGATGTCGTGTGTGGGTGTGCATCCATTGAGGTGGTGACTGCTGTTTTGCAGGCTGCTCATCCCCCATTATCGTCAACAAAACTCTTGGCTTGTGTGTGCGCCTAGTAATATAATCTAAACAGCAGCTTTGTAACCATCTTGCTTTAATCGTCACCAATTTAGAATAAAAACTTGTTCAAATAGGGCATAAATAGGGTCATTTCCTTTTTTTATATGCTTGTTTGCCTTTACAAGCAATGCATTAAATGTAAAACATTAATACTCCGTTCAAATAAGGGAAAAACGGCACAGGTAAAACAAGAAAGCATATTTGACACTCCCTTTCTTTTTTCTTCTTCTTTTCAGCAATGACTTTATCAACAGAGCAGTTTAAGGTTTTTATATAAACAAGAATAAAGCAGTGATTGTTATTTACCTTTTTTTAAAAAAAAGACTCTTCACTTTGCTTGGTTTGTGGGTCATGGACTTATTTTCCTATCATGTCTTATTTCCATTCTACTCTACCCATTCTCCATATTTTATCGATTTGCCTACATCTCTGTGATATCAACCTATAGCATCGTCTTGTACAACTCATACAAGGTAAAGTAGCAGATATACGCGAAAAATGAAACTAAAAGCATGACTCAATATAGCCACTTCAACAAGGGTTACCGATCAAGCGCATGTTACTTGACGAAAACACACAATACTTTATCATCTCTGTCTATTTCCTATTCACCAAGAAAAGGCTCGGTAAGAATGCAACATGTCCGCATGATGTGTGTATTTTGACGGTTTAATAGCCACACTGCTACCATTTATCGTCTACTCTTCTTTCCATATTCTCGAATACGCCGAGACTGAGCTGATACCGACACTCTTTCCGGACCAAACTCAGCTCCAGACAAGGATCAAAGAGTTCCGAACGAAATATTACGAACAAGCCATGGACTTGACATCCCGATATGAAGTATGCGGCATCATGGGCCTCCTCCTGCTCGGATTCTTTGTGTAAGTTGTTGTTGGCTGATGCATATCCCGTGTAACCTTTTTTTCTATAGACTCCGTACCTCTCTCACCTGTTTACTCCTCTATGCTCATTTCTTACGCATGCGATACTTTATGTCAACCTACACACGAAATTATATCGATGGTATCTTTGGTCACATCGATCGTTTGTTGACAACGCATCCCAAGGTTCCACCCACAGTCGTCAAGACATATGCAAAAGTGAAAGAAGCTTGGATGAGCGACCCGATTGAGAAGAAGAAATTATAGGATTTATTATTTAAATAAAGATGGTATTAGTGAACGGATACAGGTGATGCGTGGAAGGCAGGGTTCGATAAGTGTTTACATGTGTGCCAGGTAGCAGGCTCTTTTAATACATCCATCACTTGAGGCTTTTCTTCTATTCGAGATGTTGTTACATTCATTGATTGATAATAGCGTTTTTTACTAGGAGCAGAAGGTGTTTTTGATAATCGAAGTTGTTGCATGATAAAACCTATCACAACATTGAATATTATACACTCACAAATATGTCTAGTGCATACCATAAAACCAAAAGCAATGAAGTGGAAAGAATGCAGTCAGGGCAATCATGATGGGGCCAAACGGCTTTAATTGAAAGGCACATAGGATTGCATACGCATGAAAGAGAATACGAGTGAGCACAAAGGTAAACGCAAACAGGTAGTCATGACGAAACTGGTTTCGAACAGAGCCGAGAGCAAGCAGAAAGGTAGGCACCTCCAAGAGGCACATCATGACAAAGATCGAACAATACCTTTGACTGATGGCCCATGTCAACACGCCAATATAGACTATATGATGAATCCAGCCGGTCAAGATGCCAATCTTTTTCGGATAGAATAGGCTTCCGATCAATAGGTCTATCACCAAAAAGGTCATAAAAAAGACGGTGATCTGAACTGTCCAGGTGCGATAGTCAAGTACTCGCGCCATGTTTGATCGGAATAGAATGTACACTAGTGGGATCGAACTCACACTCGTGATGAAGCTGCTCAATAGTGTGCACACATAGGCAATCTCTCTTTCTGTCCTTGCTAGTTTTGATTTGTACCAAAATGTAAACCATCCGATGAGTGTGATTGTTGAATAGATACTTGTTTTTATCACAATTGGATCAGAAATGAATGTAATCATTGTATATTAAAAAAAAAAGAAAAAAAAAAACAAAGGGGAAAGAAAGAACAAAAAAATGGGGTTCCTTTATCTCTTTTTTTATTTCTGTACCTTACATTTAGTCACATTGTTATGAACTAAGCAGGTCATTGATTTGATTCAATACGGTTTGATCCACTTGATTCAAGAGAGCAATGATCGAAGGATGTTGAACAGCCTTTCTGATAAGCTGTATTAAATCTATAGTATACACTGGATCCTGTCGAAAGATCTATACTTGATATATCAGCATCACCATTTCGTTCTCCCAATATATATACCTCGTTCTTTCTATTCTTTTCAGGGCTATCTTCTACTTCATAAATGTCTCCTTCCATGTCTACTTCACTATACAAAACCCTTCATAATATATTAAAATATATTCCAAAATAGGGAAATATCCATGTCCTTACTCGTCTCCTTCAATCTCTTTTATCTCTGGTCCCACGTCACTCCAGATAGCCATCAGATTGGGCAATTTGTTGATCATCAGTGGATACCCAGTCATTAATAAATTTGTAAATCCAATGCATGCTAATTTCCTTGCTCTTGTTTGGCTAATATTATCAAACTATGGGAATGAGTTAGTATTGCTTATTTTTCATTATAAATATACCTTATCAAGCCAAGCGTCCAGCACATGATTCACATAATCTTCTTTTTGCTGATGTTTATCAGCCATCATTTCGATCAGTCGAATGACAAAGGATGCATCATACATTGACAAACGTGCCAATAAATTCATATAGTTCATTAATGCATACCCATACATCTCGCCTTGAAGTAGCAACTGAATGATGTTATTCATCAACCCAGATTGTAAAAGCGAGTTCGCATAGACTTCAATAGGCGCTGATTGGAGTGCTAGGTCGAGCGTGTGCGCGATATAGGCAGCAGCTTGTTCTCTCGACGTGTCTACCTTGTCTGCTAGTTTGCTAAATAAAATCAGGCTGTGTTCGGGTATCAGCGTCGATGACGCATCCAGCATGATGTAGCTATCAATGATCTTTAGCACCTTTCGAAGGTTCTCTGTATCGTAATCCAACAGTTCGAGGCAGGACGGTAAGAGTGACATGATATCAGGGCTGGATTGTAGTGTACACTGGAGCATGGTCCACCAGAGGTCGAGTGAATCTTCCAAAAGATAAATATGTGCTTCCTAATTGAATGTAAATAAAACTGCATTTATATGTGTGGCAAAAATTCCTTACGTTATTACGATCAATGCAGTATCTTATCATGGGTATCAAAATATGATGTATCTGCATGGATTGCTCACCAAGTATCTGTATAATATATGTTAGATTTGTCTGTAAGAATGCTATAGTCACTTACACTTGTCAATTTGGTAAATACAACAACCAGTGAAGACTGAAGCAAGGGTTCAGTACCAGGACCCCACAGAGGCGTAAGTAACTGAATGATTTGATCTGCATATGGTATGACCTATTATATTTTTGTCAATATCTCCTTCTCCTTCATATATATATATATATACTTTACTTCATGTCCTGTTCTATCCATGATGGCAGACAGATACGATATCAGCTTCATCAATGTATCTGCTTCTTCAACCTGGTTAACCATACTAAGCAAAAGATGAATAGCGATTCCCAAATAAGGTAATATGATCTGTGTCTCAAAATCCCAGTCCTCCACCGCATTCTTCAGCGCCTGGACAGCAGTCAACCTGACCACTAAATCCTCGCTCTCGGCCATCAAGTCCAAAACGATTTGATAAATTGTTTGACGACACTCTATACTGACACTTTCTGTGATCCATCTACCTAGCAGCCAGGCTATACGTCTTCGTAAAACCTTTAGCTGCGGGTCCTTGTTGCTAGCCTCAGGCTTTAATCTTTTTGCTACAAATGATTCAAAATCAAATCGGCCATAGAGCGGATTGACGCCAAGCCCAATAGCGGTGTAGACTGCGTCCTTGAATAGAAGGCTTTGTCGATCATTTACATCTTTTTTCAATGTTAGTTCAGTTTCTTTTTCTTTGTTTTTTTTTCCCTACCACACACACGATCTACTAAGTTGATCATGATGGGAGCAAGTTGATCTCTGTGTTTTGACAGTAAGCTCATGAATGTGATCTCTGCACAAGGTCTAATCTCAAATTCCCAATTCTCAGAGTCTGCAGCATTCGTCCACCCTTCAGGATCCTCTTCCCATTTGGCAAAATCGTCGGGTGTCAACAACATGTATCGTCCGATCAACGTTTCAGCACACAGCGTGACAAATTCAGGCGTGACGAATTGCTCATTGATGATCTTGGCTGCTTCCAGCGCCAATGCCTTTTCTTCGTCTGTCACTGACAAAATGTCCAACTCGACTAACGAATGATGAGTTTTTTTTTTTTTTTTTTGGCATGAATCCTTTACCAGTCGTGTGCGTCGAATTCTTGATGGTCTCTTTTACCAAAAGCATGCCTTGTAATAAATGGTGTTCTAATATACCCTGTCCAATCATGATGTTTTGCCAGTAATATCGAATGATATCTAACCATGCTGGACATAATGTCACAGATACTGGATGTGCCTTTTGTAAAGCCAAATAAAGCGTGCCGTACTCTTCAATGATATTTTCTACCTCTTGAATCAGCTTGACTTGATTCATCTGAAGTAGACTATATCCTTTTTTTACGGTTAAACTCTATTATTTTTTTCATTCAATGACACTTACTAAAATTCATGTACTGTGCTAAATGTCCTGAGCTGATGGCAATAAATGTCTACACTTGTTTTAATAACCATACTTAACATTGTTTATCTCTACATACCTTGGTCTCATCATACTTGTGAACATCTTTGATACCACTGACCATCAGGATACGTAAACACTTGATACAAGAGGCTGTGATCTGCAACTCGATTTCCTTTTGCTTTTGAACGTACCCCATGTAAATCTGTGCGACCACTTGAAATAATTCTGGAGCGATCTCGGCAAACTGTTTGCGTCCAGTAGTCAGTAACCGGGTACTGAGTTCGGCAAGAACTTCATACAGTGTCTCAAGTGCGTGATGGTGGATGACACTATTGTCAGCATTTGAAATGATCTTTAAGAGCGAGCTTAGTAGATCAGGCCTACACTAAACTTGCTTAATTGATAATTGAAAAAACAGTAAATAATTGTCTCTGTACCATTGGTGAGGAAAATCGATGCGAGCAATTCGAGCAATAATGACTGCATTCTGCGAAGTGAGCTTTGGGAATAAAAAGGAAGATTAGATACAGTTACTTTTTCAATAAATATATATACCTTCTTGTTGGGTTCATCCATAAACCCGAGAAGTCGTTGACGAATAACCGTCTTTTCCTCGGGATCGATAGGACTATAGAATAGATTAGATAAAAAGTTCTGATATGTCTACACATGTTTAACTTTTTGGCAGTCTTTCTCCAGAAACGATCAATGCCATTCTTTAGGTAAATGCCACTCAATACTCGAATGTCATGGTTGATGTTGGAATCATAAAATATATCCTTTTTTCCATATAATTAGACCCTCTTTTTTGAAATGTCATTTTTCTTTTTACTTGTAAGGTGGCAAAAAACCTAGGCGCGTTCTCCCATTGTTTTAACATGTCTTCGGCTTGTTTCATACGGTAATAATCTTGTGAAGTGGCTTCACTAAGAACCGCAAGAAGTTGGCTTTTGGCTTCACTCATCTATTATGAACAAAATAAAAAAAGAAAAAGAAAACACGAGAACGATGGGGACTTTTTGACAGATAATCAAAGTGTAAGTGTGTACTAAGGAAGAGGGACCTGAAAAATCCGAAGTCACATTATGATTTCTTTCTGTAGAGAGAGTCTTCTACAAAACCATTTAGTTCTAAAATAAAACGTATCTCGCTTTATCGATCATGAATGACGCAAAGAAGCAAAAAGTATTGAAATGTATAAAAGAATAGCCGAGTTTATTAAAGATTTATTATGCTTTAACATTTGAAGTTCCTTTAGGATGCTGCTGCTGAAGGTGCTACTGCTGGAGGTGCTACTCCTGATATTAGAGGTGTTGGTGCTGGTGCTGGTGGTTTTTGCACTGGTCTTCGCCCTCGTCCTTTTCTTAGGAATATGAATGGAGCTTTTCTTTTTTGTACTTGTCCTGCTAGACTTTGAGGAGGCTTTCCTTCAGTCGATGTGATACCTGAATCATTAGCATCGGGAAGAGGAAGACTTGGATCATTAGTGCCAGAAGGAGGATCACCGCCAGGGATAAGAGCATCTAGAAAATTTGGGCCACCTGGAGGAGGAGGGGCGGCAAAGCCAACAGCGGCAAGAGAAGCACAGATAGTAAGAATAACAAGCTTGATTTGCATCTGGTAAAAAAGAAAAAAAGAGTACTGTTGTATCCTTTTTTGTGAAAAACGTTGCCCTTCTTTTATATCAAAAACAGGTCGATGTAGACATTGTTGTCATAGCCGTTTGCTATTGGCTATAAGCGCGCTTTACTATTCTTGGCCAGATGCGCCCTGTTTCTCCCTTTGTTTTGTTGATCATTTACTCGTAAGCATATAAGTTGCAGGAAGTATATTCGCTATATGCACACTTCAGTTTTACTTGGGTCGACAAAACAGCTTTGGGTTAAGAGAGAAAAAATACATGTAAACATGCTCTTGTATGTTTTTCCAAACCTATTAGTATGCATTTAATTGAATAAGCTCTTTAGTTAATAATACAGATGAGCATAAGGGAAAAAACAAAATAGCCTGTCCTGATTAGAGCTACCCATTAAGATGATCATGCTTAAAAAAGAATTTTTCTGGGGATTCAAGAGTAATGAAAGTGTATGCATAAGGAACAATTGTGAATATGTTTCAGATATAAACAAAAGTATATGATGTCAGTCAAATAACATGGTTCATCTAAGATCTGCTTTGTGGAATGTTTACACCACGGTCAAAATTTGACATTGAGAAGCTGATGCAAATCCTGTAGCTGCTCAAAATGAAACAGATGCCCACTAGAATGAATTGCTTATCAATCACCATGAGCTTTATGTATCCAAAAGAGCTTTCTAAGCACCATTCATTTACATAGTGCAGTCAAACTGCCTGAATAATACTTGCCGTATGGTGAAACTGGTTCCGGAGATATGTCCTCACAGTTGCTAGCTTTAAAGGTTGATGCACAGAAAATTAAATGAACAAAGTTGTATGGTTTTGGTGTGATATTTCATCACTTCTACGTGTCGCATAGCATAAAGATGCATCACTTAGCTCCTTTTTTCTTAGAATCGACAGAACGATTACTCTTTGTGCAGTTTATTGCATGAAATTTACTCACAACATGTACGCATGTTTATAATATTTGAGAGTATGAGATTGCTTTTTATCTATAATCTTATAAAACGAGATGTGGTCATAAATATATGTTGTCATTTATTTAAACAACCAGAATTACATGATTTTCCTGAGTTATATCTAGGTGCTTTAGTCAAGCTGAGTCTTTGCGCCCTCAGGTCTTGCATGTCAATGACTATATCGTAATCAACGGATCTTAGCAAATGAATAAAAGTTAGCTTGAGCACTTTTAGTTTAGGGCAAACACGCCCCAATGTTGGAAAAAAGCTAATATCAACGAAATTATTGGAAAGTGACAACTTTTGGAGATAGCTGTAGTGATAATTTTGAAAAGACGGTGACAGAATATTAGCAAAAGCTAACTCCCGAATCTGGGTGCACGCTTCGATAAGCGGAAGATCATCCGTGGGCATATTCATGGAAAGGCTCGAGCACTTCATCATCAGTTTATGGAGATGATGAGAGATGGTTCCTCCAAACAAAGCATCTTGCTTGATTAAATAAGAAAATGGTGTCCAAGTGGAAAGCATACAGTGTAATTCTGTATCCACACAAATACGTATATCTGGTTCCCAACTTGCTTTAGCGAATTCAATTGAGTTAAATGACCTTGGCTGTAGCTTAAATGCTTCAATTGCAAATTTGGAAAGCATGCGAGTGTACTTCATTTGAGCGTTCTCATCGGCTGATTTACGACAGTCTTTTAGAATTAATGTAAAAAAAAAAAATCGACGCTTATATGGCGTCATAAGAGCATTCATCAGGTGAATGTAGTTTTCTTCAAACGATGAAGAGTTTGTTTGTTGTGTATGAAGAGTAACCGATGAAAGGTTTATAAATCGAGTTGAGATATAGTCGACTATCGATCTTGTCATACTCGAGGGCGTGATTGCCATTTCTAAGGTGATTAAGGAAGGATAGATATCTGGATACGCTGTCAGACAGGAAGCGTCTTTTATACTAGCTTGTATACACAAACAAGTTAACTTGGGACACATGTCAAGTATGAACATGAATTCCCGCATAGATTTGATGCCCCAACTTCGAAGTATACGGCTTTGAAGTGATGGAAATGATACCAAGAATTGCGGGCCTTTTTTGCCTGAGGGGCCCTCTATGGAAACAATAGAATCTTTATACTTCAAGTACACATCAGCAGAGGGACTATAGGTTGAACCAACAACGATGCGACGAAGGCCCCACTTGATGTCATCATAAATATCAAGTAAGAACTCTGGTATGCGTTTTGGACGTAGCCAAGTGCTAACATCGATCAATTCAACATTAGGACAAAAAGTGACTAGTTGTTTAAATTCTTCATATGATATGCTTTCATACAGGCCAAGAGTTATTTCCTTGATGCACTTTCCAAGTGTTACTAATCTAGTAGACTTGTCTGACATATTAAGCCCCTAGCACGTTACTTGATTGTGTGAAAGATCAATGCTTTAGAACAAGCGTCTTGTGGGTGCAGAATGCCAATTTGAGCAGACAAGTCGACATTGAAGTAAATCTTTTTTGTCAGAGAGATATTGAAAGATGATTTTCAGAGTGTGTGAAGGCAAATGCTGAATGCTGACCATTTCTAAAACGTAATAAGAAGTGCTCTTTGTTGCATTTTAAGCTGCTGAATAAAACCTTGGACGGTTACAAAAGGGGAATTTCCTTATTTCCTGTCAACTCTGCAGATCGTAGTCCGGCTGTATTTGTGTTGTTCATTGGGTTACTTTCAAGAGTAATGTACTTACTGGGGCACCCAAGAAGAGACAACAAAAGATTTGTTCCGACTACTCGTTTATCATAAAAGTGGCAAGTATATTTTATTTCTTTACTTCAAAAATGAGCACATGAGTCATGTTCTCGAAGATAGAAGAAGAAAATGTAGAGATCGTAGAATATAACAACTGGACTGTTGAGCCTTTTAATGATGAAAACAACTCTTATCTCGCTGCAGTAGATGAGTGTAAGATCATCGCATGCTCCTGTTACTATTACAAAAGACATCAGCAGCTCTGTAAGCTGTATGTACTTGCTTGATATCCATGTAAATGAACTCAGCTTTAGTGGAGGATATCCAAGGGCGTGTCATTCAGCGAGTAAGAGTCTCCTTTGGTGAAACTGAAATGGAAAACGAGACTGATGAAGTACAAACTGAAATGGTGGATGAGGCTCCTGAAGTTCAAACTGATGCTCCCTCAAGGTATCATTTATGCAACCCAGAGCAAAAACGGCATCGCAGAAGCAAATGTCAATCGGGTTCTCAAAATTCAAAAGCTCATCAGAGATATCACCGACATACCTTCATGCTAGTAACTTAATCTGTAGCTAGTATACCTACTCAACTATCAATTGTTCTTTGACATAACAGTTTGTGAGGTTTAAAAATTTTAGGTCTTACAAATCTATCATCAGGCTTCTAGAGAATCGATTAAATAAGGCCAACACTACATGCACCAGAAAATGCGCCAGAAAATAGGCTAATGCTACGAGCGCTACCTACGTTGTCACTACCAAAGTCTCTGTATAACCTAAGTTTGTCCAGTTCACTCTCTCTGATATAAAATACGAATTTATCATAATTACACGTAAGCTAAGTGGTCTTTATTGATCAAACTGACGACATAAAACTAGAATAAATGAAGAAATAACGACATTTCTTTTTATCTCTTTTTCTTGAAAAGGAACAAGCCAAGATGGTGGCTTTATAAAGTCGTGTTTAGCTTGACGCTACGCATTGAAAAGCTTTGCTGGGCAATATCATAAGTAGTATCTGGAAGTAGCGCCCGTAGTATTAATCTAACTTCAGGTGTATTTCCTGGTGCATGTAGTGCTTCCTTTTTCGCCGAGATGCCCAAAATTTTTAGTTAGCGTGATGCAATGATTGGAAATGGGGCAAACCTCTATGATGGTGATAGTAATATGTCGACTCTTAATTGCACTTTTGGTATGTTATCAGTCACCAGTACGTCTTAAATTAGGTTTTATGCCACCCTCAACTATACATAATACTCTATGTTCTTTGTTTTGTTTTGTTTTGTTTTTTTTTTTTTTTTT